AGGAATTGTGTTTTCTTCTTCACTGAGGGCTGCCCCGATCACATATGCGTGCCCAGAGCCTGAACAGCATGGGGCTGTTTTAGCTAGCTAAATACAAGCTAAATACAAGAGTGATCCCCATCACTTCCAGACTCCAGAACAACCAGAATCGTCATGAAGCCAGCTCACACGAGGCTCAGAGGGAGGCGCAGAGCGACCTGCTCGCTGGACCTGGCATGGTAGCAGCAAACGCTGCTCAGGCAGAGCGACAGCCTGGGTGCCAGCGCCTGCGAGCAGGAGGAGGGCGCAGGGGCTGTATATAAGCACAGCTCCCGTGCCCGTGGGCACACCGCGCTCCTGCCGGGCCAAGCAGCCTGGGAGGAGTGGAGGAGGCTCCGCGGAGCGGGACGCGGAGGCGCTCGCCTACTTACCGAGCTTCACCTCTGCGTTCTCCGTCAGCAGCACGTTCTGCCCCTTGATGTCCCTGTGAATCACGTGATGGGCGTGAAGATGCGCCAAGCCCTGCACCATGGACAGGAGGGGAGGGGTGACAGGGGGTTAGTGCCTCCTCGCTTGGCGTCACGCAGCGCGTCCCGGCCCCGAAGCTGGAAACCTCGGGCCACGTGCGGGCACAGCATCCACACGGCACCGATACCCCTGAGAAGGGACGGGCGAGGGGCCAGCATCCCTGTTCCGGGGCAAGGGCATAGCGAGGGCAAAGCAAAAGCTCCCTTCCAAAGCTGCCCTTCCGCAGGCGCCGCCAATACGGAGGCTCCTCGGCAGAGACCCTGCCCAGACAAAAGAGCAGGAGCGCGGTAGAGTTTCCAAAGGCAACACAACCGCCCGCACACGGTGCTTTCTGTTGAGGCAGCACCTGGACGCCTGCCCCGGCGCGTCAGCCGCGCAGAGGGAGGGACGGGGCCTTGTTTTGCCCCCCCGCCGGCGGGACAGGACGGCAGGCAGCCCGCCCGGCAGCCGCGCGGGTGGCGCTCCCCGCTCAGCTCTGCTTGGGAAAGCGCCGTCTCCGGCGGAATCATCTGCCCGTCCACGTTGCCCTCCCAGGCCTTTAGTGCTTTGGGGAAAGTAAAGACACGGAACCTTTACAGCTGCAAAAGGTTAACGGAGCAGTGGTTGCTGCAGAGAGATATTTGCTAACACATGTTCTCCATTAAACGGTCGTTTGCCAGTTTGTCTGCATAACCATTGGGCTATTTTCTTTTTTTAAAAATAGTCAATGAGCGTGACAAATAACCGAGCGTGCAGCTCCTCCCTGCACATGTCACGAGCCAGCAACACGAACGCTCAACGTCCTCAGTACCATGCACTGGCTGTTAACACTAAGTGTGGTCGGATATTTTTTCCGGAGCGAAGGCTTTTCCACAGCTTCGCACAGGATACTTCCTAAGGCCTTATGCTCCGCCACTCCTGCCAGGAAGATAATCATATGCTCATATGTTCTCTCCAGAGAACAATCTCATCTAACTGGAAAAAAAATGGTCCATTTGGGCTTGGGAAGAGTCAGGAAGAGGCAGGGGGTCAAGCGCTCGGTTCCGTGCAGCGCCCACACTGGCGCTCCCCAGCAGGCCGGGACTCGCTCCCAGCCGGGCCTCCGCCCGCGGAGATCTCCGGCACTGCAGCTCATCCACCTTCCCCTCCGTTACACAACCTCTCCTCGTCCATCCCCGACACAAACTCAGCGTCAAATCACGTTTTGCAATGCCTCATACCAGCGTGAATTCAGCACTCCTTTTTTTCTTTTTTTCCCCCCTCCAGATATTCCTGTTCCTGCTAGCAAATAATTAAAGCTGTTTTTGTTTTTTGTTTTTTTTTTTTTAAGTCCAACAAGCAGGAGAAAGTTGCTTTCCAACAACTCTGTTCCACGGCAGCTGATTTTTATCCTCTTCTCAGCCTGCATGACTTTACCTCCTGACTCAAGGGGAATTTAGGACAAGGGCAGCAGGGCATGCAGTGCATCCAAAGAGGCACGGCTGTTCCCAAACCGAGCACAAGGGCAGCCCTGCAACAGCTACCTTTGCTAACACTAAAGCGCGCCACGCACTGCGTTTGAGATACAGCCACAGTGGGTATTCACGACTGCAACTTCGCTGCCTGTTGCACACAGCAAGTCAGAGTGTGCCAGCCCCAACGCCAGCTCAAACACCAGCGGCAGCAGAACTCCCTGCTGACGTCTGGAGCGGGGCAGGAGCCCACAGCCGTGCATCTCCCTCCCTCGTAATCTCAAAAATCACGAGATTGAACAAATGTGCAACGCAGACAACAGAAGCACTGATTTATGTGCAGAGCCACTGGTGGTTTCCTTTAACACGAAGCCTTTAGAACTTCACTTATGATGAGGCAATGGAATAGACACACTGCGTAATGGTACGGGTAGGAGGCAATTTACCAAGAAGCACAAGGAAAACCACCCCAGATTTACTCAGCACAGCCAACAAATGCCAATTCAGAAAGCACTTTAACTGTACCAGCTGGAAATTAAATATGGAGAGTAATTAGCTAGATCTTCAGTTTTTCAAAAAAACAACCTCTAAGTGGCATCCCTCCTCCTGAGAAGCTTTCCCAGCGCGGTATGGAGCGGCCTGCAGTGCCCAGCCATGTAAGGTATGTGTGCTTGCTTCAGGCAGGCTGCAGGGGTATCGTGCACGCGAGCACCTCACGGCACAGAAGCACTAACCCTAGGCTGGAGCCAGCAGTCCCCATTCTCCACACGCTGCACTGGCAGCACAGAAAAGCACCTGCCCAGCACGTGTGAAAGAAACCATCCTGCGCCCTGCTCCGTTACGATCCCCCTGCAGCCTTGGCGCTCTAAACACAAGCGCCTCGCGGACGCACGGACGCTGCTTCTCAGCCTCTAAAGGTTGGGACAGTGGCTCCGGCACTGGCTTCTCACGACACAGAATTGCTGCTTTCTGCAAGGTTGCTGTTGCTGTAGGGTACAGCTCGCACAATCCCAAGTATTTGCTGCTCCTGTCCTCGCTAGCAGCTAGAGAGTTAAATGAGATGGAGCAGCCTACACTTACTCTCAGACACTCTTCAAACCATGGTGTGGCTAAAGGAATTGGCCTGAAACAATTTCTTGTGGAACCTCAAACGAGGTTACATCTCTGTAAGATTGCTGCTATTTCCAAGCGCAATTGGAAACTGGTCGGTTTTCCTTACCCGGAGAATCTCTCTGGAGATATAGGCTATCCAGTCTTCCTTCAGAGTGTTCCCCTTCGTGTTCTTCACGAGGTCGGTGATAGAGCCTGCTCCACAAAACTCCATAACAAGCTGCAAAGCAGGTAAGAGCACAGGGTTCACAGCTGCCTGGAGCAGCAGAGCAAGCCGGGTGCAGCAGTGCTTTGCAAAGCCCTCCCGAAGCCCACGACAGCATCTATTTTACATTCCCTGCCTGGCAAGTAGATCCCAACCAAATGTCTCCAGCATGTCAGACATATACGAAGCATGTCTCACATTAGTTGCCACACTTTCAAGAACTGATTTAATCACTGTAATTTAACGCTGAGAATTTGGATTTGCTCAGCTAGGTGCATTAGTAGCAATGGGAATACAGAACATACCCGATGCTGAAGAAATCAAACTGCTCACACCATTGCAACACATCTTATTTACAAACCCCATGTATTTATGACAGACAAGAACATTCACTGGTGCCTGTAAGCTGCCATTTCAAACCCAAACTTCAATCCTCCAGGGAGTATAGATGGGATGAGAACTGTCATGAGGAAAATTTTCAAGTTCAGCTTTATTTTTACAGCCACATTCTTACTGCTCAGCTCATCTGCCTTGCTCCCATGAAACATGTTAACTATCCATTTGGGAAACGAGCAAAAAAATCTTAAAGAGCAAATCAATTGCTAATAGCAAACCTCGGCTCAGCCTTTGTCTCCAGGATACATGATGCACCTATGCAATTCACTTCTCTGTTTAGACAAGTACCAAATTCCAACAATTTGCCTTTCCATAGCATGGTATTTGTGTCATCCTCAAATGATATCCCAAAGGGAAAGGCATGCTTGAGAACTCTCTGCTTACCCACAGTTGGTCATCATGTCCTGGAGGACTCTTCTTAATGAAAGCACCATAATAGGTTGCAATATTTCTGTGATGAGAATACTTCTTTAGCATGTTAATCTCCAGTTTGATTTCTTCTTCTTCATCCTTGGGAACAAAACAAAAAACATACACTTTTAATACAGCATGTGCAACACCTGCTTCTCTCTCACTCAAACAGGTTTAAGAAAGTTTGGTTTATACCAGCACCATGCTCAGCATGGTTTGTGCCAGCAAGATCTGTTGTTTACTATGATGTTCTAAAACAGACATTTATCTTCCCAACTCTTCAGCAGTTGAAAAAGCAAATAAAGGATGTACTGGACTTCATCTAGTAAGGAAGCAGGGCAGGATTTGTTTAAAAATCTGTGCTTCCAATGCCTTAAACAACAGGCTTCTCTAATCCAGAGAACAAGAAAAAAAAATTGAATTTATGTTGGAGGTGTAGAATTTCACTCGTCAGCATTTTTTTTCCTTTCCTTTTTCCTCCAATTTTTAAAATTTCACACTTTCTAGTTCAAAGCCACGCAGCGACCTGACCCAGCGCACAAGGACCCACCATGGCCCAAGGGCCGCCTTGACCCACCTTCCTCCTCATCCTCGGCCGTCGGGCACGATGGCAGCGGCGGAAGAGTAAGAGCAGGAGGAAGCAGGAACCGGCGCTGGGAGCATAACAGGGAAGCGGCCGCACAGGAGCGGAGGGGAAGGATTTCCCATGGCCCTGGCGCTCATTCCGGCGCTGGGCTCCGGGCAGACAGGCAAGCAGGGCTGCACCGAGCAGCGCTGCGCACAAAGCCCTCGGCAAGCACCCAAGCCTGCAACGCCGCCGCCCAACGCCGTGCTGGACGTTCGGACAAGAGCTGTGCGGAGGGCAGGGTGCCGAGCGCCCCGGGCACCCACGGGGACGAGGAGCACGGAGGAAACCCAGTGGACGTGTGCCCCCACAATGTTAATATTGGCTTCGTGTCAGCAGGGTGTCCTGGCAGGCACAGGGACAGTTAAAATAACCCCTGTCCGCTACAAAGAAAACAATTATTTCACACAGACCAACGCTGGGATGCAAGGCTTGCTCGCGAATGAGGATAAAAGAATTCCCCAAATGCAGCCGGGGATGAACTATGCCTAAATCAGTTCATGATGCTTCTCTAAAGGAAAGCACTGGGCATTTCTGAAACACTGAACAAAACAGTGAAATAATGCTGTAAATCAGAGCTCCCAGCGTGTGGGAAGAAAGCAGGATCACCAGAACAACTCAGTGAGCCAAGAGCGAAGCCTGTGCCTCCTCAGCTGCTGCTGCCATTGCCGTTGCCCAAACTTTTTTTTTTTTTTGTCCAAATGTTAAAAATAAATACATAGATAAATGAAACTGTTTGCACTAGGAATATCCATGCTGAACTTGGTGAACTCCATCTTCCCACGAAAGACTGTAACAGGAATTTTGCTAACCTCAATAGTCTGGACCTTGCTCGCCGCTAGGCTCCGTACACATAACGTGATTAATCTGCTATTTCATATTCTAACTTGGTTAACCTGCTCTTCCATCCCGACTCTCCGTGCACGGAATTCTTTCCCGCGCTCAGCCTGCGCACACAGTAGCTTTACACTCCCAGGGCCAGGACGTCCCAAGGGCTGTTCCTGCTTATCCACTCCAGCAACGGGCAGAACGACAAAGCTTAAACAGGGTCTCTTTCTGAAAAAAACTAACAAACAAACCAAAGGATTGAAGGAAAATAAGAGGCCTGCACAACCCAGCAGGCTGCAAGCAGTGAAGGCTCTTTCAGTTTCCCTTGCAGCTGTATCAAGGCACCCACTCTGTGAGCTGCTGCAACGCTAAGGGTCTCACTGAACAAACAGGGCTAACATGCTGTTTTAGCTGTGCTTGAACATTTGTCCAGCACCCAGGAGAGTGTGGCGATCTATGGTTCAATCCAGCTTGAATGCCAGCTTACAAAACTAGAGATGGGTGCATAATTCTTGCCAGATTTTGAAGGATTTCACTTAATGTGGATCGATGACTTCCTGGCACCGAGGCCCGAGGACTTTATGGTGGCATGAGCCATCAAAAGCATTAACCAGTTTAGAGGACTCTGTATTACATGAATCATTAAAAATGGGGGCTCATCCAAGATAAAATTCTTTTGCTCAAGTTCCAGGTCTGCTTTGGTGACTCTTCCAGCCTTCAACCTTGGATGCGCCAAAAAGCACCACTTCAACGTTTTTCTAAAATGAAAGCCATCATTTCTCGATTCAAAACATTGTTTCAGCATCTTACTTGCATCACGGGGCACTCAAATGACCGTTTTTTTGGAAAGGTGGCCCACCGCGTCCGAACGGCACGCTGCTCTCCACCAGGCCTAGGAGGAAGATGAGGCCACGAGGCAGGACAGGGCCCCCAGCGCTGCAGACGCCCTCAGCTGGGCAAGGCGCATCCCACGCGGAACCCGCCGGAGAGGGACGTTCCCGGCCGGCACGTGCGCGGCAGGGAGCAGGCAGAGCCGCCGAGGGGCTGGCGGAGGGCGGCCCCCTCGCTGCTCCCTGCGCAGCCGCACTCGGACAGGGCTCCGCAACCACAAGGGCCTGGAAAAACTAAAGACCGGCTGAGGGCAGAGGCTGTCAGTCCCGTGAGGGAACACGAGTGCCTCCTCTTCTCGTGGAGGAGAGGGGCGGCTGCTCGGCCCTTCCGATTTTATGGGATTTTAGGGATTTTATGCAGCTGGAGCCAATCACCACTCGAGGCCGTTATCCGTGGCACCAAGTGCCACCGAGACGCAGCCCCGTCTGGGCGCACTGCGACTCGCGCTCTCTCCTGGGGACAGCCCCTGTGCTCGCCTCGAGTTTCTGCAGCAAGCTGCAGTGCTGCAGGCAGGAGGCCCGTCACGCAACCAAGCCTCGGGGCGGATTTCCTCCTCGCTTTCCACGCATTCGCCTCCGGAGATTGCATGGACACGTTAGCATCTCCAGGAATCTTTAAAAACCCTGTGGTCATATCAAAAAATAAAATAAGAAAATAAAACTTAAAAAACGCACGTGACATCGGCAGAGAAATTCGCCACCGTGCAGTGCCACAATTTTGGAGAGCACCCCAGGAATGAAAGCCGGAGCGGATCCGGCCTAGCAACGTGCCACCTAGTGGTTCCCAGAGCCCTCACACTGCAATGTCCCCAAATCCTCCCTTCTCCCTGCAAACTGCTGGCTTCCCTACTATCTAGTGCCCTCACCAGAGATGCAGTGACCAGCAAAACACAGATCAGCTACTTGTTACTTCTGTTACTTAAGCTGGGGTTTTGCAAGTGGTGGTCTGTCTGAACACGCTGTCACTGGAGTACAAACAACAAAAAAATAAAAGCAACTACAACGGCCCTATGGAGAGAACATTAAACTGGACAAGTCAATTATGCAACTTCAGCAGCTCTCCCAAAAGTGACCTTCTGGAATCATTATCCCAAGAGAACCCTGCCCATTTGCACACATTTTCAGAAGATGAGGAATCATGAGCACCCTGGGGGACAAGCTGGTGAGAAGGGAGAGGAAGGAACCTGCAGCTCAGCAAGTGCCTAAACCAATGGTCAGAAGCAGAGAGGACATTACCAAAGGGAGAGGGGGGAAAAAATCCCTCCATGCCCAGTCTCATATTCTTCCTTGCCCGTCACTGCTTAGAGAACCCAGGACCAAGCCAAACAGCCTCAACCTGCCCGGAGCCTGCGGAGCATCCTGTGTAACTGGTGCCTCTCCATGACCAGCTGCCTCCAAAAGCAGCTCCTGCCCTTGGCCACTCTTGGTTTTACGCCCTTCAGGGATGGCACAGACAGGGGAGGAGGAACGGGACGCTTTTATTTATCCGAGAGTACGATGACGGGCAACAGGAGTGAAGAAACACAGCCAGGCAGGGATAAAGCAAAACGAATGTTAGCTTCATTACCGAACCTCATCAATTACCAGGCAATTTACACGCTGCTCTAAAGCAGCCCGCAGAGGAATACAAACTGGTCCTCTCAGTAACCTTCCTTGTTGTTACGAGAAATGAGAGAGTGAAAAATCTCCTCCCTCCCCATACAAGCAACATTCAGTGGTTTGAAGCTGCAAGCAAGGGTTTTAAGCACTAACAACACTGCCCCAGCAGCGGCAATCCAAAAACTCAGGAAAAGCGGAGGGGTGGGAAAAGGAAATCTCCAAGTCTCCTATTGTTTGCCTTTTCCCATGCTGCCCACGATGCTCTGCCAGCCGGTACCAAGGCAATTGCCTTGCTGGGAAAGGCAGAGCCGCTTACGCTATGCCTGGGATTCCGGGTTAAGCTACACTGGCTAAGAAGCACTAGCTCCGGGGTAGTTTCTGGGATCTGAGGATCTTAGAACTATTTGAGAATTTGGATGCACATGGAGAGAGACACCGTGTATCTGTACGGCTCTGCAGTGGGAGGGGAAGGGCAGCACCAAACCAGGAGCACCCCGAACGGCGAGGAGGAAACGCTTTTGCCTTCAGGGGCACCAGGACTAGCACAACGCACCCTTTCTTTCACTGTCTCTCCCCTACCATGTAAATTCAGGGAAAAACAAAAACAAAAATCACACAAGCCACAGGAAATTCAGTCTGTTTTCCTTCCCCCTTCCTCTCTCTTTTCATTTCTGCTCTCTCCCTCCAAAAACCAGAAGTCTTAGAAGGCATCAAAAAAAACCCCAACCTTTCCCGGATAAATGATGACACCAGCTCCCGCAAAGCCCCATTCCGTGCGTGTGTCACATCCTCTCTCCTCCCTCCTTCCCACACCCCAAACCTCTGGCTTTCATCCACTCGAAACTGGATCTGGCCAGGACGGGGAAAGGCTGAATAGCGCCGAGCACAATAGGTGACCTTTTCTGGTACTGGGATCTGTAATATACACGGTCATTAAAACAGTTCTCACACACCAGGGGAAGCTCTGGCAAAGGGAGCCGGGGCAGCGCTGCTCACCGAGCAAGAGCTGCGGTGCTGCCTCTGAGGCGGGAAGGAGATTGCGATTTTGGGAGGAACTAACCACAATAAAAGCGAAGCTCCCAACGCGAGGCAGGTCCCTGCCGGAGCCTGCCAAGGTGCGGAGTTCACATACAGGGGAGCAGCCTGCAGCGCC